AATGGTGAAGCCAACTTTTGGCGGGTCAGCCAAATTATTGCCGCGGGTCACTAAGTGACCTGCGGGTCATAGGTTGCCGACCACTGATTTAAATAAAGCACAACACAAACAATGTATACTAACTTATTTACTGAAGATGTTAGATTATAATCTTAATCCAAGTGTTTGAAGCTGAATTTCTTTCATAAAGTCATATTCTAGGTATTTAAACTTGTTTGTTAATTAACATAAATTTGTTTAATTTTTTTTATATAAACTTATTTTCCCTTTTTCGTAGAACCAACTTCCGAAGGAATCCCACATGATTTTCTAGCTGTGGCACCGAATGCTACATCCGTTCAACTTACTTGGAAGGTAAGTGGTTACAACATGTGGAAGATATAAAGATAATGACTTTTGTAATGGAAGGAAGCTCTAACAAGTAACAGTTATTTAGAGGATAGTTGAATTTGAATGGAATATTCGTTGATCTTGTATAGTTGAGTGGATATAGAAAGTATAGATATTGTCTTTATATGTGATAAAGAAACGAGATTCTGTGACACAGAGGATGAAATGTCATGACGTTATTCACATACCTAGAATTAATTTAAGTTACTATACGGTGAAGTAAAACAGACTCAAAACCCCATAGATAAAGTACAGATATGATAATTGCCAATGAATAAATCAAACATAAAGTTACTTGACCTGTGCAACAATAAATGGTTCAAGAACAGGTGTAGTAATTTGCTGCATATGGAAGGAAGATGAAAAGATATGGTGTGAAGTTTAAAATAATATTAACACTTTATTTACTGAAGATAAAGATCGAAGTTTTGGTAATTAAAAGATAAACCAAGCACATAGTGACGTGATCTCTGTAAAAATTAGAGGTTTGGGTATTCAGTAAGCGAAGGAATGAGTGCAGTGATTTGTTATAAGTGAATTAAAAGAGGCAAGACGTTTTGGTAATTAAAAGATAAACCAAGCACATAGTGACGTGATCTCTGTAAAAATTAGAGGTTTGGGTATTCAGTAAGCGAAGGAATGAGTGCAGTGATTTGTTATAAGTGAATTAAAAGAGGCAAGACACAGTGTTGAAGCTTTAAACATTCAATTTTGTGAAGATGAAAAAATCATGAAATGAAAGAATGATTGGTTGGGTAAAATTAGTATAACTGCATTGTGAATAAGATGAAAAAACAAAATATTTATGTGAAAAGACAGATTAAAACAAACCGAATTTGAAAATTAACTGAAAGTAAAATATATAGGACAAAACCAGCAGATAGAAGGTTATAGCTGAACAAGGACTGAGCTTTGTTAGAGCTTTGTTTAACCTCAATTGGGTTTAACGTGTTTCAGAATTAAAACTTAGAAATTAAAAACAACAACTTAGAGATGAAATTTACTCTATTGGAGAATAAGTATGTTGTACTTGCATGTTAGAGTCATATACAAATCAGTCTTTAAGCTAAGACAAAATTATCAGAACGAATGATAAACTTTATGACCTCTCCCCCCAGTGGCACAGCGGTATGTCTGCGGACTTACAACGCTAGAATCCGGGTTTGATACCCATGGTGGGTAGAGCACAGATAGCCCATTGTGTAGTTTTTGTGCTTAATTACAAACAAACAAACTTTTGGAGGGGGATCTTTGGAAGTTTAAAATAATTCAGTTTTTTATTGCAATGCTTCATCTTTTGGGCCATAAATAGATCTACCAAATACTTACTACTTTTTGAGTTTATGATTAGAGTAGGTTCTGGGTAAAGTAGAAAGTTTTTAATCATCGTAGAATAAAGCTTATTTAAAAAATATATTAATTGGAGATATTAAGATGCGATTCTTCATATTGTTTTTAATGGGAACGACTAACTGTTATCCTAATCTCGGTAAATCTGAAATATCAGTAAGAGTTACCACTTTTTATTATTTTATTGTTTGAGTTAATCATTAATCATTTGTTAATAAGTTTTAAGTACTTATTTATTGACAGTGTTCTCATGCGTATATGATAGTATTGTCATTATAACCTGAAAAAATACAGTGATAGATTGGCTTACCCTTTATTGAGGTATCAGTATAATTTAACTGTTATTTTGTCACTCAATAGCTGATGTGTTGAGCCTAAATCAAAATGATATGATGTTAGTTTTGACAGCATTTTCAGAAGAGAACAAACTGATATTTAGTATGTGGAACAAATATTTCAATATCTAAGGTTATGAGAAGCATAATCATAATAATACTGTTTTATCATATTTAGCACCCAATGTTGTCAGAGTTACGATGCCGTCTGTTAGCTTACCGACTTCGGTTCTGGAAGACGTCAGATAATGTTTCAATGCAGCATGCTGAGATAGCCAGCTCTGTAGAAAGATACGTGATTACTGACCTTGCAGTTCACACTAATTACACATTTCAGCTATATCCACTTACTTCCAGCGGTTTAGGTTCTTATTATGCTTCTGTGAATGTTACCACACCAGAAGCAGGTAAGTCTAAACTTAATGTTTAGTTTTTTAAAAATGTTATTATTCTTTGTCGTTTTTCTAACTGTTTTCAAAACTTTACAGTACAGATTTTCATTTATAAACCAAATTTGAAAAATTATTTTTCTCTTGTTCAAATGTGTTTAAGCAATTACTTGAAATAAAAATATAAACAACTGATCCATGAGAATTTAGAAACTTAAGGTTTTTATATTACTTCAGGCAAGCAGCAAATAGACTCAAATAATAATATTTAACAGTAACAATGTGACTTAGATAACCAAACCAATCCTATAATTACAGAAGGACATAACTAAATAAAAGAAAATGTAAATCCTCATACAGTGTGTTTGGTCTCTGGTTTCATGGGTTAATTAATTTGTTCTTTATCATATAAATTTTAAATACATTTATTATTCATTATTTCAAATTTTTTAGTTCCAGGTCCAGTTCAAAATCTTAGGTACCATCACGTACCTAATCCACACAATCTGTTATTAACATGGGATACCCCATTTGGTAATACTGGTTCTCTTAAAATATATTCAGTCAAGTATGGTATCGCAAGTATTAAAAACTGTGGAAATTCTTCATTCGAAGCAACTGACCCAGGCGTTTTTACGGCTCTCACAACTAAAGACAAACAGGTATTGTTGCTGAGATCCTTTAAAGGCAGCTTTTTGTCTGATTTGTTTTATGTTTTTTTTATAGGAAGGTGGTTGGTTGTTAATCAAGCTCAGTTACTTTATATAAAATTCTAAAAAATAAAAGTCTCTCGGCAGTTTTTAACAGAATCCTTGAAAGAAACATATTCTAAGCTTAGTTAATAATAGTTTTTTTTATATGTTAAAATCCTGCAAATAGTTACATTTCTGTTACTGATACATTTATAACCGTAGTAGAATCTTTGATGAAAATAAGAGACATAAATGAGATGAATTGTATTAAAAACAAAAATTTTGCTAGTATAAAGAAGGTAGATCAAGAAATATTTCTCAATGTGAAAAAGCGACAATAGAAATAAAGGTGTAAATAAAATTGTGTTTTCCTCAGGAATGAAAAACTTATTAAAACTTAACTCTGATTTCCAAAGCTAATCTTAATAGCATACTGTAAAATAAATGATTTAGAACAAACAACTACTCCAAAAGCAAAGATAAAAGACAGTAAAAATATTTGGTGAATTTTAGATGCTTTATTTTGTGATACTTAAGGGCTTTCTAAGTGTGATCCAAATATTTTATAATTCTCAAATTATTGCTCAAAACAGTTTTTATCATAACTAAAAACCCGTAAAAGTTCAATGAATATCATTAATTTGCTTGTATTTTATCTGAATTGTATAAATTGTGTTAGTTAGTTCTCATTTCTTTTAACCTTTGTACACACAGTATGTTAATGTCTGTGTAATGATTTTATCTTGTTTTATTGACAAGACATAGATAGTTTTGTGTAATTTCCTGAATTTTGCATTATTTACCAAATACAAACAAAAAAGTATCTCAGCAATGGGATGATGAGGACTTATTTTGTAATATTTTTTTGTTCAATTAACAAAATGTGCACAGGCTTGGCTCATTGGTCCAACCCCATATTGGAGAAGGAATATTGACTGAAATTCCTAATTTACTATGTATACCTACATAAAATGTGGCAAGGTTTTAATAAAATGTATGAGTCTGTTTTACACAAAATAACCAGACTAGTTACAAAGGTATTTGTACTCAAGATACGTCTGCGAATTGACGATGCCATTGTGAGTCAGCCTCTGACAAGTCAGAGTGCAAAGTGATATTCACATGAAGAATAAAAATACTTTTATTTATTTAAGAGTTTGTATATTGCATTTGCATAATCTCTAGAACCTTTAAAATCCATATCTAGTTTTTTTCAGCGTCTCTCTATATTATATCCAATATCTATTCTCTCCTTCCACAAATTGTTATTCAATCAGTAACGTAGAGTAAAATAAATATTTAACAACTATTGGATGTAAAAGTTTGTGGTTTGTGTACTTCGACCACCGCCCATGCATATAAGGTTAAAGAATCCTATTGTTACTGTCTGTGCTTGTTGCCACTTGTTGGAAATACATGTAAGGTTCAATTTCCTAATCATAACAGTTGTATGGCTCAGTGGCAGTTTTTTCTCTGTTTTTATATTTTTGATTGTCATTACAGTGTTTAATTTGTATAAAATATATAAAACATTTAAAAGAACTTTCAAAAAATATTTCCATACGTTTTATTTTAATTATTGAACTTTGCAATTTAATGGCTCTATATTTATTTATATTTTTAAAATGTAAAATGTATTTAGGGACACCTTATTTTTTAGTGATAACATTTGCAAAATGTTTAAATTGTCAAACTCACTCAGAACTTTATATTATGACACCAGAATTCATTTCAAAACTGAGCAGTATTAGATATTAATATAATTTTTTTTTCCAAATTTTGAAATCAAACTATACTTTTTCGACTGTCAAAATTTGTAATAATGCAGTTTATGAAACTATTAATGTATATGTTGTTTTGTGTCATTACATTTTCTATACTACTGGATAAAATAAATTTCATCTTATTACATTTATCTGTGAAATGATTCTGTGCACAGATAACCCTGATAGGGCTCCAACCTTACTCCAACTATTACATAACAGTCTGTGCTAGTACATCAGCTGGATTTGGAGATGTACAAGAATTATATGCTGACACAAAAGAAGCAGGTTAGTCTATGTCAATTTTCATAATGATGTGTGTGTGTGTGTGTATGATAAATTAAAAAAAAACTTCTTATTTTCTTACATTTGTACATATTGCATGTTGTGTATAAAATGGCTTATATAAATAGTGTTCTGACCACTGTTGAGTTTGTTGTATCTCGGCTGGCCCGAAGAGCTCTAAACTGAGGGAAATGTATTATTGGCAACAAATATGACAAATATTTGGTGGTTGGAATACTATTATTATACAATCATCTAATTCTTAAAATCCCTAAAGGATTGGATAATGAATGTAGCGTACAAAATGTAATAGGCCTAATACTTGTATTATCACAATTGTTTCATTATATTGTCATATATATCTGTAATTTACTAAAAAATATTATTCAGAAAATGAATATTATCTCCATAAAATTGAAACCTAATTTGTCCATTTGAGGACTGATAATATTTCTGTAACATAAACATAGTGTTACTAGGAAACATTGACTCGCATTCCACCAGCCTTCTGAAAACTCCCACCTAAATTTGACGTGAAACTTGTGAATTTGCACGACTGCATGATGACATATAATACAACAAATCCTTTCACATACTATAGACAAGATTCAATAGTACCAACGTACTATACACAAGATTCAATAGTAGCAACGTACTACAGACAAGATTCAATAGTAGCAAAGTACTACAGACAAGATTCAATAGTAGCAACGT